AGCTTTTGCTTTACCTATTAAGCTGTCTTTATCTCAACCCAGAGGTTTTTGTACTTCTACCTTTCCTATTCTCTCCCCCATCCCACTGAGGGGGAAGTCAGCGAGCAGCTGTGTGGTGCTTAGCTGCCTGCCGGGGTTAACCCACAACACCCTGCTTGAGCAGGGGAGGTTGGGCTAGGTGATCGCAAGAGGTCTCTTCAAACCTCAGTGATTCTGTGTGATTATGTGCTAGCAAATTGTTAACTCAGCCATAGCATTATGCGGAAAATGCTGTTTCCTTACAGCCAGAATAATGCCTTTTGAATGCTGATACTCATGTTGGAATTCCAGCTGGAATGCAGGGGCCTTGGTTGTGGGCAGTGGATGTGCTGAAGCTACTGCTTCATGGATCCTGGCTCCAGCATGTTTGCCATATCTGTGGTGTGGAGTGCCAAAGCACCATGAAGAACATATTTTCTTGACAAAGAGATGTCATTACGCACATGGACTGCCAGAGCTGTGTGGCTTGCTGCAACAAGATAGAAACATTTTGCAAATTTTTTTGCATTTGATAACTAACATGTTAAATATCACATCTGTGCTGTTTTCCAAAGGAACTGCATATTCACTACATGTTCACTGATTTGTGCTCTACTGCATGTTCATTGATATTGTTGGGCCAAGAACAAAAGGGCTTGTACCTCTGCCACACACCCCACCAAAGACAAACGCCTCCTTTAATTTCTTTTTTCACCTACAGCCACAATTCAAGGCAACCACGCTGTCAGCGTATGAGTCCACACCGTAGGATACCTTCATAAGAATCGGTCACAGCAAACAATTAATCATCAAGGGAAGAATATTTATTTGCCAATGAAGATGAGCAACTGCTGAGCACACTGACTTATGCACTTTCGCTGACCTGACCAGAGTGTTTACCTTCTTTATAGCTAAATCAGGTGCCAATGAATGTGGTTTAAACACACAGGGGATGTTCGCATGAGAACTTCTTGCTGCTCTGTCAGATAGAGGCAAGGACACGCAGGGGGCATAATGGCCGGTACTGAGTAGGAGCTGCCTGCAGGCTCCTCTGCTGCAATGAGCTCCTGAATTTATCCTGCGGGCAAGGGATTTGTGCAGCACAACACAGACCTGAAGGCCACCACAGCTCAGCACAGCAAGCACAGCACAGCACAGAGCCTCCTCACGTTAACTGTTCTGTGGACCACTAACTCCTAAGTGCGCAACGGTCTCCCAGTCAGGATCGATACAACAGTCTGCCTACAAGGTAGATTTACTCTTTCTCTACACAGTAATGTATTCTGCGTGAATAGCATTGTTTTCATCGCCATAATCAAGTCCCATTTTCACTTTTTCATTCCTTTGTAACAAAACACTCCAGTTGGACCGGCCTCCCCACATTTATACAACTGCAGTTACGATGTCTGCATCAAAGAGAGACATCTAGGCGATGGGGCTGTGGAGGGGTGGGTCCAGGGGAGTCAGATGAATGGCCATAGTTGGAAGTGAAATTCAAAGAAAGATGATGACAACAGAAAGGATAGAAGAAGTGATGTTATAAGGAAGAGATAGGACTGGTCAAGACAGACAGTAGTGGAAACTTGAGAAGTGTGTCATGAAAGACGACCATAGAGAGTAGAAGAGACAGGATGGGCCAGATGGAGCTGAGCTGGTTCGGGTGAAGTTGGTTGCCTGGTCCTGGTACCTGAAATAACTAGCTTATACCAAGACAGCAGGTTCAAAATGCAGGAAGATCAGCTGGGGAGAAAATAATAATGCAGTTGAAAGGGACTGGTGGGCCTTGAGCAACCTAACGTAAGTTTGGACTTGACCATGTGTCAGGTGAAATAGGGGACCAGCTGCTCTCCAGAAGTTCCTTTCAAACAAAACTGGGATTACATTGACTGTGCTGGAGCAATGGTTCCAATCAAGAAAAGCAGTCGTCCCCTCTTCCCAAGGAAGGCCCAAAGAAAGACACATTTCCTATATTTAGGTCTGTGTCCCATTTCTAGAACAAAATGCTTGAATTTGACATGAGTGGGAGCTTAGGGTGCAGACTAACCTGCCGTTGAATTCAGGGGAGCGCTATCGTGCAATTCTGTTACCTAAAGAAAGGGATCTAGTGCCTATGGATATGCCTTTCAGAGAGCTCTCTGAAAATGACCTGGTGCCTGACCACATCCTCAGGTTCCTAAATACCTCTGTCTCTTTGGACCACACACAACTCAGATCATGTGGCAGAAACTTGGCACCCAAGGAAAAAAATTCTGCAATGCCTTTGCTTTGGGGAGTCACACCAGGCCGTCACAACGGCCCCTTGATCTTTGTCACCAAAGCAGCAAGGAACTCTTGGTATGATGTCTGAGCTCCCATCTTTCCCAGTGAAGGGATCTTTGACAGCTATAGAGCTGACTTGAAGTTAACATGATACTCTGTTCCTTAGCAAAAGTGTCTAGCACACTAAGACACGTCAGAGAGCTTGCACGTCCAAATGCCTTTCCCAGGAAGGGACGGGATCCCAGGAATCCTTTGCTATGTTTACCAAATCCGGGTTTATGTCTAAGTTACACTAGGACATTGCAGAAAATGACAGACATTTCTTTACCATCCAGCATCAGACAGAATTTTGAAAACAAAGAGAAGAAACATGTAAATTCAGTGACCTAAGGAAAAAAAACAAAACAAAACAAAACAAAACCCAAAGAAACCCAAAACAAAGCCCCCCAGAATTTCTTTACAATTTAGCCATTAGCTGATAATATTAACACGTCAAGAAGCAATTCTTCCCTTTCTTACAACGCCGAGACTGTCAGCTCTGGTTGCCAGCTGGTGTACTATGAATCCACATCCCACTACGTGTGCAGGTACATCTAGATTTCTACCTGAGACTATAGCTGGATAGCCATTATATGAAAAGCATTCCATTAGCAAGTTGTCCATTTTGACTTTGCAGTTGAAGAATGCGCCACGGATTAGCTTTGCATCTGTGCTTCTGAGCTTCTGCGCAGGCCTCCAGAGTGCTACTCCCATGAGTCTGGAGAGAGACATGGATAGACTGTTTTCTCACAGTGCTGATCATATCCCTACAGTGGAGCTGTGAGGCAGGTGTACGCAGCTCTTTCTAAGGTAAATTGGCTTGTATCTACTTCTTTAAGTTCATCCTGACATTAAGGTATAAGGAGACTGCAGTGACTGCGTCTTTCATACCTAGGCAGCACAGCAGCAGCATTTCTAGTGTTTCAAATGATTCATTACTGAGCCGTTCACAAAGGAGCTCCATTTGGCGAGGAACAGAGGCTTCACATCTCGGAAACACATCCAAAAGGAACAACGTGTTAGGTTTGCTGATTCAATTCAAGGTAATAACAGTAATGCCGTTAATGTAAAATAGAAGAAATATCATATGAATTCAGTCAAGTTTGAGCATTTTGCTCTGCATTTACTCCTACTACAAGAAGTTCAATAAAAAAGTTAATTTTGCAGGCATTTTCAACATTTCGGAAAAAATAATGCGAGACCGTAAATCGTTTCTCTCTCTCAGGCTGGATGTGCACCACAGCACCCGGATGAATCATCTTCTGGAGATGGGTGAATCACTGACTGAGAAGAAAAGTGGGGACCTAGAAGGTCTAAGTCTGGACCTGGCTAACATAACTGTGACATCTAAAATTGCCACTTTAGGTCCAGACTAATCATGTTGCCCTCCTTTTATTAGCAGAGGAGAGGCTGGGCAATGAGAGAGGGTCTTGCAGCCCATCCGAAGGCAGGACGTTTACAAGAAGCCACAGGAATCCATTCTGATCTTTTCTTTCCACTAGTCAAAGGAGATTGCCTCTTGCCAAAAACGTCCTGCAGTGGGAGCCAGATGCTTAAATGTGCATGTTTAGTGTGTTTTGAGATGCCCTAAGGTTGCCCATACATTTGCATGAGGTTGTAGGTTACCTGCCACTTTCTGAAAAGTGGAGTCCAGGAGGTGAAATACCAGGACATCTCTATTGGTACTTTCTGACTCCATTTAGGCACCAGGATCTCACTACCAAAGGCTGATGAGTCACACCCCATGAAAGATAATGTTAGCAGCTCTGGCCGGGATTAGGGGAAATACTCTGAAAGCTCCATGCTGAATGATTGCAGACATGTCGGGACACATGTTTCTATCTGGACTTATTTCTGGGGGAAGAAAATGTCTTACACTGGGTTTTCATAACGGAGATTAGGGGATCTCATGCATATATATAAACAGGCACGTATGTACATATATGAGCACAAATATACACTGAAATAATGGTAAGAAACATGGACAGTGTTTATATAAATGTGTATATCTCTACAAGCATATAGTATTTACAATACAAATAGTATGCATGTGCAACACATGTAGACTACAGGCATACGTATTATATACATATACATACCTATGTATATTATATATACACATGTGCATACACATGTAATTTATATATGGAACTGTGATTACTGCGGGATTTGTTTCTGAGCTGTAGTTTGGTCCATCGCGTGGGATTCATGCATTTTGTCTTCAGTGAGCAAAAAGTGTTTAGGGCAAGTGTGACATTCAGACGGTGGAGAGACTATGGAGCAGACCATCCAGTCTCAACCAAAATCCTTGACTTCCTCTTCACAGCTTTCACCAACGCGCTGGAAAGAAAATGTCCACTGTGACAGAGTTTCTTCTCCTGGGATGCTCTGATACTCGAGAACTGAAGATATTCCACTTTATGGTATTTCTGGGGATTTATTGGGCTGCCACGGTGGGAAACTTTCTCATTGTTGTGGTCATAGCTGTCAGTAATCACCTTCACACCCCCATGTACTTCTTCTTGATGAATTTGTCCATCTTAGACCTTTCAACCGTCTCTGTCACCCTCCCTAAGTCCATGGCCAGTTCCCTGTTGCATACCACCGCCATCTCCTATTCTGGCTGTGCTGCCCAAGTCTCTTTCTTCCATGTGTTTGGTGCCGCTGATCTTGCTTTACTCACTGTCATGGCATATGACCGTTACATTGCCATCTGCAAACCTCTTTACTACAAGACACTCACGAAGGCAACTACTTGCATCTGCATGGCAGCCATGCAGTGCATGTCTCAGCTGCGTCCCTTACTCTGCTCTCCACACTGGGAACATCTGTCATTTATCTTTCTGCAAGTCCAACATCATTGACCAGTTCCTTTGTGAAGTTCCACAGCTTCTCAAGCTTTCCTGCTCTGATTCATACGTTAGTGAAGTTGGCATTCGTACATTTAGTTTCCTTTTAGTCGTCATCTGCTTTGCTTTTATAAGTATGTCCTATATTCAGGTTTTCACGGTGGTCGTGAGAATTCCTGTCAAGGAATTCTTGACGAGGAATATGCTGTTTTAGCGTAAAGCTTTTTCAGCCTGCATCCCTCATCTCATCGTGGTCTCCATGTTTGTTAGCACTGGTTCTTTTGCCTATCTTAAGCCTGTCTCCAACTCCCCATCAGCTCTGGATCTCACAGCTTCTCTTCTCTATTCTGTGTTGCCACCAGTGATAAATCCAGTTGTCTACACCATGAGGAACAATGGCATCAGAGATGCCATGCAAAAATTAACTGACCACAGATCACTATGCGGAAATAAAAAATCAGTCTTTCTTCACCAGAATTCCTCTGTGTTCTTGGTAATGAGCACTTCATTTTCCAATAACGGACAGTTTACATCATCGGGATTGGAGGAAAATACTGACCTTTTTTTGAGGAAGGTTGTTTAAAGATTTCATTATACATGTAATTTTGACTTGCTGATGGCAGCAGCTTTTGCAGAAAGATACATCAGTAATGGAACAAATCCAGGGTAATGCTCGCAAACACTTCACGTATGCCTGCCTGCCTATATCTCTCTCTCTCACCTTTCCTCTGCTTTATATATGCTTATGGAGTATAATTTATAGTTGGGCTGTTGTGGAAAAGGGACACATCTAAGTGTGTGTGTGTGAGAGAGACCGCCCAAGAGGTCGGGACATTTATTTGCAGACGTGATGAGAACCCCAGAGAGGTGTTTTGGTGGTGTCCGTTTGGTTATGTCACCGCTGGCGTGTTTGTTATTTCTTTATTGCATCGGGTGCACCAAGTGCTATTGTGACTACTGTGCGAGATGTGCATCTGTTTTATCATCACTTTACATCTAAATAAATGACTGTTCAGCAGATCTGCTTGGTGACTCATCTAAACTACCTGTATAATTGCACGTCGTCCTTTCTCAAAGGAAATTATCACTCCCTTCCATGTCCTCCCACCCTCGCGCCCAAGCCCTCACGGAATGGAATCACTGTGGCCGAGTTTTGAGCAGCTGAATCATTTTAATTTGTTTAAATCCCAAAAGTTTTGCGTGTGTGATTCTAAACACGGAATCCTACTTTTGCTTTCAGATGAGATAACCCCATGAGAAGAAATACCTATTTATCATCTTTGACTACACAGGGAGTGTGGAGGAGTGATTCAAGTGACTAAGCAGCTACATTTTAAACTCTGCAGGGTGCTGCATTAGGCTTGCAGTTGCTGATTCTGAAGAGCGTGGCGCTCATGTTGGCTTTCTGCTATGTTCTAGTCCCATGCAGGTGCAGGAGTGACTTGACTCTCCTCAGCCTTGGGGCGGCCTCACGTCAAGTACTGTGTGCAGTTTGGGGCGCCACAATTTAAGAACGATGTAAGAATCTTAGAATATGTCCAAAGGAGGGCAACAAAGATGCTGAAAGGACTAGAGG